AAAGTTGACAGAGTCAAAAAAGTCTCTCACTGAGTCTCGACCTTCGATACAAGTCGATCAATCTTAACCTTCAACTCATGTCGGTCCGTCTTGACCTTCGATCTGACTCAACCTATCTCGACATTTGACTCGACCTAACTTGTCTCAACTTTCAACCCGACATGATCTGTCTCAACCTTCGACCCAACCAATCTCGACCTTTGGCTTGACCCGACCTAATTTGACCTTCGACCCAACCCATCTTAACCTTTTGTCTAGTCTGACCCATCTCTACCTTCAACTTGATCCAGGTCATCTCAACCTTCATCCTTGACTAACCAATCTCAACCTTCGACTTGACTTAACTCATTTCAACCTTTGATCCAACTTGACACGCCTCGACTTTTAACTTTGGTCGGCCTGTATGGTCCTTCAATCTGGGCTAACCTGTCTCAACCTTCAACCTGGGACAATCATCTCGACTTTTGGCTCATGTCAACCCGTCTCAATCTTTAACTTGTGTTAAAGTGTCTTAACTTTTAGGTTAAGACAACTTGACTCGACCTTTGACTCAGGTTGAATGTATTACTTTTAAGATTTAATTAAAGTATTTGTAATTCGACCAAACTTACTTTAAGCCTAACCCACTTTAGAGAGTTTTTCGAAGATTTAAATATATTTTAACCCTTCATTTAAGCTCATAAAAGAAAACTTATTAAAAAATAAGTTATGACTAACCCATGAAGTCACATTAAGAACTAAACAAATATATGTTTTCCTTCTTTATATATTTCATGTTAAAGTAGATTCTTATATTAAGTGAAAGAAATTATTAATCTAGAATCTTTACTTGATTTTTTGTTATCTTTTTAGTGTATTTTTAAAAATGTACCAATTTTGATATATTAAAAAGTTTTAAATATAATTTAAAATATTAAATTTAGTGTATGCGGAAGACAAAATAAAAGAATAGTAAAAACAATTTCAATAGAAAATTCAAATTCTTAGATGAAACATTCGTTATAAAGTTATACCTAAATAAATTTTTATTTAAATAAAATACCGTGATTAAATGGATTAAATAAAATTTGACTTTTAGATTGGACTGTCAACTATAAATAAGAATTTTCTTTTTCATTCTTGGTACTTTGGAAATAATAGTTGTTAATTATTGTTATATAGGTAAATATGTTGTGAACTAGCATGCAAATTTAATTTCTGTTGGCTTCGGTGAAGTATGTGGAACAGTGAAAGTATGCATAAAATGGAGACCTATATTAAATATATGAGTGTTTTTTCCAGACACACCTCCATATTTCTTCATGCATTTCTATTAATCTTTTTTTTTTAAAAAATTCTAAACCTATTCTATACATTTCATAAACTCTTACAATTCACTATTTTTTCTTCAACGGATTTTAAAATTTGTTGCAGGATTCTCCAAATCTTTAAGAGATTTTGAAATTCGTTAAAATTTTAGAAAATTTTTTTAATAGATTTCAAAATTTATTGAGAAATATTTTTTTTCAATAGATTTTAAAATTCGATAAAGAATTTTTTTTCAACGGATTTCGAAATCTGATAAAAATTTTTCAAAAATTTCAAAAGATTTTGAAATATGTTAGAAAAAGTTATTTTTGGAATGTGGAGATACAAAAAGAAATGTCTGAAAGTGTAAGAAGAAACACTCAATACATATATTCATGACTTGGGTCTAAATAGGCTTTCTGAATCCAATACTGGCTTTGTGGCAAAAACATAGACCTTATTATTCTCACTCCTGTGTTTCTTAGGTTCACCTCTACGACTTAAAGAAAAGGTTAAAAAAAATCTATAATAAAAACTCGTTTATATTATGTTAGATAATGACAAAAAGCGCCTTTATGTTATTTGATTGTGTCAACTAAATGTTAAAATTTGTGAGTCAACTCATATCATCATAAGTCTAATTAAGTTAAAAAACATTACAAACTTCAATATAGACAAAAAAATGAATTTAACCTATTAAAAATTCAGTCTGACTCATTTAACTCATGATGGATCAAATCGAATTTAATTTTTTAAGCTTACTAATAAGTGAGATTAGATTGATTCACTAAATGATCTAACTCATGATAAATCAAATAACCCATTTTAACAACTCTATTCATAGCTCCAAGTAGTTCTTACACAAACTATATATACCTATTTAAAAGATTGAGTTATTTTTTTTAATTAACAAAAAATATATATTATATATGTTTTTACTAAAATTCTATCTCTTAAATGTTAAAAATTTTAAATAAAACTTACATGAAAGTATAAAAAAATGAAAAATAAAAATTATTAAAATAATTTAAAATAATTAGGCAAATATACAATAAAAATATCACTATAATATTTATATAAAAATTAAATTTATTTTTAATTTGAAAATGAAAGAAATTGTTCAATTAAAAAAACTTTTGATTAAATAAATCAAAATAACAAAGATTTGATTAAATATAAAACAATAAGAACTAAATAAAATTAAAAAATTTTAAAAATAAAATAAAAGTAAAAAATAAATAATAAAAAACTACACTAGTTGACACGTAACCAAACTTTCCAAAAATCTACCATAGATCCAATGCAATTTCAATTTCACAATGACCAAACTTTCCATAAATCTATGCTCTCATTTCTTAAACTCTTTACATTAAATAAAAGAGAAATGAAGGGGTCTTCCATAGGAGTATCGAGGAAAACTTTGAAATATAGTATCATTTTGTGGAGTATATCAATAGTTCACTTTATTATATAAAATGAAGGAAATGAAAAATATCAATGTATCAGATTAGGCAGAATTTTATAAGAGCAAACACCAGATGCTGTCTTCGCAACAAAAAATGAACCAAGAGAGCTATAGTCCACATAGGCTGATATTAACCAAATGATACAAATATTAATCCAATCTCGTAATGGAATAAACAAAATACACTAAAAAATCACACTGCATGAAGTTTTTACTCCATCTAGCAAGCACTTGCAACTGATTTACTTCGACAACCTCAAACTACTGGAAGTTTAGCCTACCATTTATAATATGTCATAAGGACAAAACTTAAATTCAATTCTTAGACACTTAGAATTCTTTTCCAATCAAAATTAGAGTTTTGACCAGGAATCATCCTTATTTTCCAATCAAAAACGAAGTTTTGACATACTAACCATCCTAAAAAAAGTTTACATCAAAGTTCAACATAGGTTACCAAAATAAAACATCAATTCTGATGAAAAGAATTGGCACAAGAATATCTAAGAGATTACATCAAATTTTTATTACAACCAACCCAACCCAAAAAGAAGATCCTCATTCAGAAAACAACCAAAGGGAAAATAACAAGGACCCAACATATCCTCGATTAACAACAAAACAAGGATCATATTTTACTATAGCATAAGTTTACTAATAAAACAAGCAAAAATCATTGCAGCAGATGTTTATCCTGACATTTAAAACTTAAACTCGGTTCTTCAGACATTTTAGGTGTTATTTTTTAATTAGAAGTCACGTTGTCACAATAACCATCCTAATAAAGGTTTGCATTGAAGATTATCATAGATTAGCAAGGTGAAACTCCTTCTGATCAGAGAATAGGACAAAAAANACTAAAACATCAATTCTGATGAAAAGAATTGGCACAAGAATATCTAAGAGATTACATCAAATTTTTATTACAACCAACCCAACCCAAAAAGAAGATCCTCATTCAGAAAACAACCAAAGGGAAAATAACAAGGACCCAACATATCCTCGATTAACAACAAAACAAGGATCATATTTTACTATAGCATAAGTTTACTAATAAAACAAGCAAAAATCATTGCAGCAGATGTTTATCCTGACATTTAAAACTTAAACTCGGTTCTTCAGACATTTTAGGTGTTATTTTTTAATTAGAAGTCACGTTGTCACAATAACCATCCTAATAAAGGTTTGCATTGAAGATTATCATAGATTAGCAAGGTGAAACTCCTTCTGATCAGAGAATAGGACAAAAAAACTTAATAAAGGGCATCTAACTTTTGTTCCTGTTACTCAACCCAAAAAAGAAAGATCATACAGTGAACAAACACAGAAACACCAACTAAACAGAAAACATAGAGAACAGACAACATATCCTCTACTATAAACAACTCAAGAAAGTTCATTTTCATTCATGGAATGTGGTGTAACAGGTTATCCTCTAAACAATTTAAGAAAGTTCGTTTTCATTTATATATTACTATAGCGTTACTTTACTCATCAACAAGGAAAAATAGTCCTTTCTCCAAAAGCGACAGCACGTTCTATAATATTAAACCATCAACGGCATTAAAAATACTCAAATACTGTCCATTATAGACGCTAAAGGAGCAGATTTACTCACTACTCACCCCATCAATTAAACAATGAACACACAACCTTTACTAATTGACCCAACCGACTAGCTGTACACACTACGGATAACCTTAAACACCACAAAAAGAAATTTCCAACCTACTGGAGAAAACCCCATGTTTAGAGCCAACAGTAGAGCCATTAATCCAATCAAAGAAACGCACTAGAAATGGAAATTGAATTAACAAAATAAACTTAAAATTAAAAATGACACTTTATACAGTTGCCTCCTCCATCAAGGACAAGCATTGCAGCAGAAACACTTCCATAACCACAGACAATATTGCAAGTTTATCCTGCCATTTACAATTTAACAAAAGGTAAATTGATTTCTTTAGATGTTTTGAGTGTTATGTTCTCAGCGAGAATTGAAGTTTCACCTCAACAATCATCCTAATAAAGGTTTCGTTGAAAATCAATATAGACTACCAATTGAAACTCAAATTCTAGTTAGAGAATAGGGCTAACGGCACCCTACGAACTACATCTAAGTTTGGTTCTTCCTAACCTAGCACTTCATCTCAGCAGTCATCCTACGTTAATTAAACCTAAATTATTGAGAAGAAATTTAATTTCTAATCAGAAAATAACATCAAAATCATCTGGGAATTAGAGAACACCAGAAAACGAAATTAATATATATTTTGTTGCAATCAAACCAACCCAAAAAGTGGAAGATCAATCACTCAGCGAATACAGTAACACCAATCAAATGGAAATCCATCAGAGATACGGCATAATATAAACAACTTAACAAATTTCTTTTCCATTCATTGGCTATCACCATATCATATCATAACTTCACTCATTAACAAAGCAAAAAAATGTTCATTGCATTAGAGCTCCAACATCCCAACACTCAATTTGGTCAGAAGAACTCTCATTAATCCATCAACAGCATAAGGAAATATAGAAAAAAAAAAAACCTCAAATTCCGTTCTCTATAGACACCAATAAAACAGATTTACTCATACTCAACCGATCATTTAAGCAAAAACAAATAATCTCGACTACCTAACTATACACCCTAAACACCACAAAATAAAAAAAAGAATCCTACCCACCAAAAAAGGAGAAGAACCCACGTTTAGGTTGCTCCACCACCACGGCCTGCATGCTATCCTGCTCCACGAGCCTCCACGCTGCTTGCTCAAAGGCCAAGCCAGCCAAAGTTGGAGGCTTGTTGAGCACAAGAGGGTATCCTCTATTGGTGCTCCTGATAACCTCACTGTCCTCAGGTATAACCCCAAGAAGAGGCAACCCCAGCATCTCTTGCACATCCAACACCGACATCATGTCCTCGCCCTTAATCATATCGGTGCGAACCCGGTTCACAACCATCTTGATGTCCCTGATGCCATCGCACTCGAGGAGGCCGGTGACGCGGTCGGCGTCGCGGAGGCTCGTGATATCGGGCGTGGTGATGAGGACAGCCTCGTTGGCGGGCGTGATGGCGGTGATGAAGCCGGCGTCTATGCCGGCGGGGCAATCGATGAGGATGAAGTCTGGGGGGAAGCGAATGGACGCGCTAGAGCGCGTAAACGAGGCCAAGTGCGGGCCTTGCCGCCTGAGCGAGGGGTTACGTTGGTTTTCAGCTTGGACGGGGCTCTTGGGAGCGAGATACAGGAGGGTTCGAAAATTGGATCCCGGATGGTCGCGAAACGAGGGGTGGTCTCAGCACAGTCGCCGTTGAGAAAATCGTTGACGGGTAGTTGTGTTGTTAGTTTGTATGGTAGGTTTTGTAGTTGACGCGGATTTCGAGGCCGAGGGGAGGGTCGAGGTTGCGGACGGCCCACTTCGGCCGTCACGTCATGGCACCACGGAGAAGAAGCCGACGCGGGCTAGGGATGAGGCCAATGTGAGCCGTGGTGGGGTGTTTCTTTTCCCACAAACGCCATGATGGTGATGACGGGGACGCGCGGGGTGGTGCCCAGAGAGATCAGGTTACGGTTTTCCACTGGAGGAGTGGGCTGGGGGCCGGGTTTGGGCTTAGGGTTTTTTTTGGACGACGGGTGGCGGCTGCGAGGGGGTTGTGGGGACGAGGGGTTGGTGGTGGCGCCGGGGCGCAGTGGCGTGGTGGCATTGGCCGCAGACTAAAGCCGACGCCCTGCTGACGAACGCCAAATTCCTCCGTGCGTGGGAGGAGCGCGGGGGAAATGGGCGGCCTGAGGGGAGGAGCTTGATGCGCTCAGGTTGGGTTACTTTTCTTGCTCTCTTGTTCTTATGCTTTGTTTGGCCGGTTTTGACCCTGTGAAGCGGGTCCCCAGAAGTGAGGGGGATGGAGGACAGCGGGACGCAAAGGAGGGGGGAGCGTGGGAGGGAAACGGGGTTAAGGAGGGAAAGGGGGAAGGTGAAAGAGAAAATCAGTAATGCTCAAATTTAACACTTAACATTACACAGTGAGTATGGCCAGGGTGCACTCGTGTGGATTAAAGAGAAACTGACAAAGCAACTAGAAGGCCATAGTTTATTACTTTTTTGACATAAAAAATCACGCGTTTAGAGTAAAAGGATTGATAGGAAAACTTGTGAAGACGTTGCCATGATTGCGGATAATATGGCTTAAGAAGCGGTTCAAAGGTTATAGACGAAGGCCCAAAGTTTATTAAAGACTGCACCCAGACAGAAACATAGAAAGATTTATGACTTCTTCATCTATTTAACTATCAAGTATAGTTGGTTTGTCTACTCTATCAAAATCTCTTTCAAACCTATTTATACATAAGTCCAATTTGGAATTAAATAAATAAATTAATTCGAGTTCAAATTAGATCATCATAAGTTTGAAGGATAATAAGTTGATTAGTTGGCATAACGCATGTACCAAAGAAATGATTGTTCAAAACATTCTTTCAATTATATAGGGTTTAAAATCTGTTTTAGTCCCTAAGTATGACCGTTTATGGTTTTGTACCTATTCCAAAGTAAGGTATAATTTAGTCCTCAATCTTTAAAAATCGTGCGCTTTTGTCGAACAAACGAAGTTTTGAGGACTCTAAAACGAGGAATTAAAAAACAAAATTTTAGGACTAAACTAAAGCGAAACGTTTTTCTAACAGAATGAGGACCAAATTGTTACCGTCCTTTGGAGAAGAAGGAGGACGGAAAAACCAGAAATTTCTTAGCAGGAAAGAAAAGAAAACAGGCCAATAAGTTTTTGGATTTTTTTAAAACCATATTCAACCCATTAGTATACAGTATATTAAAGTGATATATCAAATAAAAGGATATATACACTTTGATTAGAAAGAGTTGCTTTGAAAAATTTCAACATAATTATCATATGGAAAAATTATGTACTTTTACATTTTCTAGAGACTATGCCGAGATGATATAAAGTCTAGATTTTTTAGCATTAGAGATAATTTTAGGGTATGGAGCTGTTTGCTATACATCAATCTCTTAAGGTTTGTTTCATATCCAAGGCAGAAAGAAACCTTCGTTGTTGCTCTAAATTGTACGAACTGAGATGATTTGAACTTTTTCAAAGGTCGAACCTATTGACAAGTGGAGCAAAATGAGGATAAAATAGTATTTAGCCTCTAAATATGTGTACATATATATTAAAACTTACTTGAATTACGATGTGTATGTAAAGAGGTGAAAACGAGAAAATCGTGAGTTAAAAAGGGAGAGGGAGGTGAAAGAGAGGTGGCAATGTGATGATGGGAGACCCCCGGGGACAGTAAAGGAGAAATAAAAGGGCAGAAATGAGTTCATTATTTAAATCCCATTTCTTTCTCTAAACTCATATCTATAAATCTCTCTCATCTTCTAAAGTTTCTAATTGTTTGGTCTCTATTTGAAAATCGACAGACGCTACTAGGTAATCCCTGAGGCGGACACTTCACTTGTATCTTATCAGTTTCGCAATAAGGTAAGTTGATTTTCTATCATTCCTTGGTTGTTTCTCCTTCCTAATGCATGCAACCATCTAGGATCGCATGTCGCGTTGCGTTTTCTTTAAGATTCGCCTACTTAAGTAGTATCCTGCTGTGTCCTGGTCGTGGTTTGTGTTGTTCGTAAGGGTAGGATCAAGTCTTTTTGCAACATCAAGAGGGTTGTTTATAATGTTTTGTTTTGATGGTGGTTTGTTCTAAAGATGGTGTTGTTTTTTAAGTTGATTAGTTGAGTTGAAATTAGAAAAAATAGAATCGGATCAATTGATCAATTGGTATGGCCCGGATACTGAATATGGTTTTGTTTGAACCAACGGTACGAAGAAAGGAAAGACCAAGGGATGACTTGAAGATATTCCATGTGCACAATGCACAAAATTTGCAACTACTGAGCGCGTTTTAAACGTCTGTGAGGCGTTTATAAGGTATATGCAAGGTCTAAGAGCATGTTAGCCCCACAATGGATAAGCGTCAGTCTGGTACGGATGGAGCGCATAAAATTAAAATGGATGTTTTGGCGTTGAAGCGGGTACTAGGACCATGTTGTGCACAATTCTCCCATTGTAGGTCTGAGAATTTCGTTCCAGGATGTTGAGCAAAGTAAAAGAGGTGTTGTTGAGTGACACTTTACGAACAGACTGGCATTGGTGCTAGGATTTTGTTTTTGGCCCCCACCTCCTCACTGTTATTGGTTGTTGTTAATTTCTCATTGTTTGTGTTTTGTCTGAGGCTAGCTTAGTATATTCTGTTTGTTTAATATGTATCCTGCGTTTCATTGAGATATAACATGTTGAGACTTGTTTTTTCTTTCACCAGGTGAGGCGATCA